TACCGGGTCCAATTGCAGCGACCTTCTTATCTTCCGAAAGGGTGATCTTCTTCATGCGTTCAAAGATGACAGTGATGCCACCATCATTGCTCGATGCTCCAGTGAAAGCTGCATGCCCTCCGCTTCGTACTGCAAAAGGGCATTGAGTGAGACGCGACAGCAGAACAAGAGTAGACACATCGCGTGCTTCCTCGGGTTTGAAGACGCAATACGGTTGTGCTTCGCGCTGTTGCTGTGACCAGAAGTAGTTCACAGCTACGCCGTAGCCTGTCTCTTCTTGAGTCTCAACCTTTGCATCACCAAAGATGCGTTTAAGAGAGCTGCACTGAAGGCGTAGTTAGTACTACACCTGGAAAGAGATAACGCGTGAAGGCAGGTGACACTTACAGCAACCGAACATGAGCCTGAGCTGGTTCGCTTGGATAGGTCGGCTGGGTCAGGAATATCGGAGACGTTTACACCATTGTCCAATAATGCAGCAGTAATATCAAAGTCGGGTGACTCGAATGTCTGTTGTGCAAGTAGTACGCTTGGGAAGAAGCCCAGGAGAACAAATTGACTCAATCGCATCATGGCTGGATGTCAAATGCCCAAGAAACAGGTGCGACAAACAACAACCCCACAGCACGACTCGGGGGCACTTTCTTATAACATCCTGCATTCCTTTGCCACGAGTAAAGAGCGCATGAGCCCGCCAGTCTGGTGCAGCCGGGCGTAATCCCGGGCAGTGGCGAGCTGTGAGGCAGGGTGGGGACCTTCCTAGCAACACCATGGCTTGTCTAGATAGAAAGTTCGCAGCTGGTCAAGATTTAGTCAAGATGCCAGTCGAGTAATGTACGATGGTACCTAGGTTGTGGCGGCCACTACATGAGTAGTTTCCTAGACCAGCACGATGGGGATCTGGGGCTATCCTCAAATGGGCCTAAGCCGTCTCCCCAAGTACGCGTGCGCCCGCCACGATTGTGAACTGCAACTCAGATCGCCTATAACGTCTCGTGGGAGCTTAAACACTTGCTGCATCTTCACACTAATTCGCGTCAGTAGACAATTCTTCAGCTGCTGTTAGTTCTCATGGCGTCTTGACGCAGCGGAAAAACATAGCCGTCGTTGCATGCGCAGAAATGTCCGATCGGTGAGCTTCATGCAATAAGTGGGTTGCATATATTAGCTGTAACAGTATTCTCGCTTACGAGAGATTCGTGGGTTGACATTGCGTCTTGAAGATGAGGGCGAAGAGGTCGTTGTTCCTGGGCTGATGAGGGGAGCGGCTCCGAAGGCCGGACCAGGAAAGCGGAGTGAGGCGTGGGTCAACACTAAGCTTGAACTAGCAACGGCAGCCCCACTGCTCGCCTTCGCTTTCTTATCGCCTTTTGAAGTTTACCGTCTCGCTACCTATGCTTTTTGCGAAGCTCTTGTTACCATAATCGACTAAGTCATGGCGGCAATGGCCGGCGCCGTGGACCCCCCATGGCCTCGCTCCTTCCGTCTGAAGCCAAAGCCCAATGGCTCGCGGGTACTGTTCAGCCACGATTGTTTCCAGGGTCCGCAAGATCTACCCCCTGAGGTTCTTTACAGCGACAACTTGACCAAATCCGAACAATTGGCGCGCGACTTTCTCGATGAGCCTGTCGTGGGCTTTGACATGGAATGGGTTTGGCCAGAGACAGAAGTTCTCAAGGGAAGAGTTGCGCTCATCCAGGTTGCGAGCGAGAGCAAAATAGCCTTGTTTCACATCGGACGTCATGACGGAGATGCAGCCGATCAGCTCATTGCGCCGTCGTTGCGCACGCTCATCGAGAGCCCCACTGTACTGAAGACTGGCCAATCTATCATGGGAGATTTCTACCGACTCAACAAGTACTTCCAACTACAACCGAAGGGCGCGATCGAGCTGAGCTACTTCCAAGTGTTGGTCAATCCGGGCAGGCCAAACTTTAATTCTTCCTATTATCCAGGAGGTCTCAGAGGTCTGGTCGAGAAGTACTTCCCGGGATACACGTTGAAGAAAACTGAGCACATGCACAAAGATTGGCTGGCGCCGCTTGAAACAAACCAAGAGCTTATACAGTACGCCGTTGCAGATGCATATGCAGGACTTATGATCTACCATCGGCTGAATGCGTTACGACTGCACATGCAGCCTTGTCCGCCCTTACCAGCACGGGTAGAAGAAACTAGGGCTTACAAAGAATACACTTCGGGTGTTTTTCCTGAGCCCAAGCCAATTTACTTGCAGTCCATCCACCCGCATGGCTCAAGTCGACAAGCTAGTTGGTTCTTTTCGATGGAGGAAGATGATGAGGTGGCGACGGAACTTGATACTGATTCGGGAGCGTTGTACGATCGGCTGGTAGAGCTTCGTCAGAAGATAGCGAATGAGGAGGAGATACAACCTGGAGAGCTCACTACTGACTGTACACTTCGACATATTGCCTCGACCCGGATTGCGACAACGGACGAGTGCATAAAACTACGCGGGATCTTTCCACAGCTTCGCAAAATATTAGCCAGAGAGTATGCTAAAGTGGTGAATACTTTCCAAGAGGAGATCCAAAGTGCAGCGGTAAACCAGCAATCTGAAGATGAATCTCCACAAATTGGTGAAGATACCAAAGGCACTGTCTCAAATCCCCCCCAGATGCCAGCGGAAGAGACCGAGCAGGCACATACTGGACTTTCATTCTCTATGGCAGAAACTGGAATCGCTACGGACGAGCATACCGGCGGCGATACCGAGCCTGAGAGCGATGCCGACGAAGCGAATGATATCCCAGCAATTCATCCCTCCGCTAGTGTTGAACAAGATGAAGGCACCGACAAGCATAATGATGATGCACCGCTGAAACGAAAGCGTTCAACAAGCCCTCAAATCGGTCGGCAACCTCCCGCGCAGAGCTTCTAGACACTTTGTCATGGATAACTATACATCCGATGACACAATGGTATGGCCGTGGTCACTCAGCGACTACGTATTTACTCCATATGAGGAAGCAATTGGACGACTACCTCCTGGAAGTCTGCAATACCTCAAGGACTTTGTCAGCTTAGGGTTCAGCATCAGTGTAGACTGCAGCGCATCTGTTCGGCTTTCCCTTGCACGAGGTTCATGGGGGATTTGACTACAACATGACCTGGTTTGAGTAGAGAGGGGCTTGCATACATGCGGGAGCGGGTCCAGGTCATGTCAGAGAGTCAGCTTGTACGAGGGAAGGCAGAGGAAGGGACGCCCCGCAGCTTACGGCCGAAGCAATGCAGATTGGGGACCAACGGGAAGTAACTCTTGGCGTTTGTATACTCATAGAATGACGGCTAGGCTTGCTTACTCGCGTTGATTGGACTGCGTAGGTGCAGTTGTCAAAAGAGTGTACGAGGCTGCCTGCTTGGCTCTCGCATTAGGCGTGCCTACCTAATGCAAGGCGTAAGCTGTGTATTGTACAAACCCCGCGCCCGTCCACAGCTCTTCTTCAACTTCTCAAAACAAGTCTCTGATCTTACCTTCGAGTGCAAATTGTCTCCGAACCCAATTTAAAAATGCCGATCGACTCGTCAACATGGAAGGAGTACAGCAAGATGGACGCCGAGTTGGAAGCCGTGCGAACCATCAGCAAGCCCATCTATGCACTTTGCTAACAGAGTAAGCTGCTACCCAATCTACCACCGAGCAAGTCTTTCGAAGACTACTCATCGGCTGTCGAATTGCGTCAGTCTTTCAATGAGCAAATCGCTCAGCTGATCGCAGCTGGTATTGTGACTTTCCCAGACTGGACCGGGTACCACAAATCCGAAATTCAGATCCCCACGCGCGATGGCGCATCGATGCGTTCGCTGGTGTACCATCCAGAGGGCAAAGAGGCGGGGCCATTGTATGTGTACTTCCACGGCGGAGGATGGAGTTTTGGGATGCCGGAGTATGGCGAGGGCATGGCGGAAGTATTGTTAAAAGAGTTGGGCTGCACGGTGGTAAGCGTTGGTTACAGGTATGGACCTGAACATGTCTTCCCTACTGCGGCGCATGATGCTATCGATGCAGTCAAATGGGTAAGTGCATGCACGGCCATTTCTTCTAGTTCCAAGAGACTGATTTATACATCTTCAGTGTGCCGAAAACGCAGCTTCGTTGGGCGCCGACCTATCCAAAGGCTTCATCGTGGGAGGAACGTCAGCTGGAGGTAACCTGGCAGCTGTAGCAGCTCATCAAGCTGTGGACGACAACTTGTCTTCGAAGGTGACTGGTGTTGTCCTCCTGTCTGCCCCGTTGTGTCATCGCGAAGCCATGCCAGAAGAGTACAAGCCACACATATCCAGCTGGGAGGACCACAAAGACGGCCTGGTACTGAGCCGACAAGCCATTGAATGGTTCTATGGCAACTACAAACCAGATCCTATGTCACCGTTGATGAGTCCGTTGATCTGGAAGACCCATAAAGGCCAACCCGCTACGTATCTGCAGGTCATGGGGTGGGTGCGATATGTCGTAGATGCTGAACAGTGCTGACGGACGTAGGACTGATCCACTTCGTGATGAGGCACTCGTGTACGAAAGTCTCCTCCAAGACGCCGGCACACCGACCAAGATGAAGGTTTACACTGGGTTGCCACATGGCGCACCCGACTTCTTTCCCATGCACAGCGCTGCGAAGAAGGCATTGGTGGATCTGAAGGAAGGTGTGAGTTGGATCATGCAGCAGAGCTCGGGTTGATACACGACGAAGGATGTATGCTAGAAAATGGTAGATGCTAGACAGTTAATCGATGAGGTTCGCGTCTAATGGCTAGATCTCACGTAATGATAGCACATGTGAAGAGACAGCCCTACTGACCGTTGCTGCCCTAGGGGCTCGCTTAGGGGCGGGACCCTGCTTGGACGCAGGTGGCCTGCACGCGTTATGGCTCCGTCATAGCGCGCCTTTCTTCTTTCACCCCAAGACACACGATACGGGACACCGTACGCCCGCACATACGACGGGCGACGTCCTGCACCGCAGGCAGAGAGCGCCAAGATGTCGAACCATCCGCGGTCAAGCCCCGCCGCCGCGAGGCCTGGCACTCCACGCGGGGCGCGACAAACAAACAGCGACGCGAACCTCCTTTCACACCCGCTCAAACGCCTGTCCCTGCACTCGGCCTCCAACACCCCGCTACCGCAGTCCCCCGCCTTGAACTCGCCCCGAAGTTCCGCTGACCTGCGCCGGACGCCCTCGACGCCCAATTTCAAAGCCAATGCCATCCAGCGCAGTCCCAGTGTAGCCAGTTTCCGCTCCTCTACGCCCACCCTGGGCAGGAAGACCTCGACCTCTTCACTCCGCGGCGATCCTCCTCGACCGGGCACTCCCCGAAGTTCCGCTTCCCGCCGGTCGTCGTTCAATCCCAATATGCAGGCACCCATGCCCAAGAGCCCGCTGGGCCCCACACATGTAGAAGAGAAGCCACCTCTGCGCGCATGTGATGTCGCCGAGGAGTACTTCAAGAAGGAGCTGGCCCGACACGAGGGCATGGCAGGCGCAGTCAATGCAGGAACCGTCGTTATCGTACACGACCAATGCTATGGCCATCGCTTCTCACGGCCCAAGACATCCAAGAGCCACCTCAGCTTGATCATGGAGCGACCCGAGAGAATACTGGCGAGTGTCTTGGGAATATCTGCGGCTTACGTACGGCTCGGCGAGCGCCATGCTGAGGGAGACAACCCGCCACATCCACACCACAACCCACCCGAACGTGTACCTTTCAAAATTCGCAAGACTTCGCGGGCCGTCGACATCACTTCGCAGGTCGTCACAAACGTACACGGAACAAAGTGGATGGGCGAACTCAAGACACTCTGCGACAATGCTGAACGGAAGCTTGCATCGACTGGGAAGGAGCTGGCCAGGGACACTCCTGCAGTCCAAGGACAAGCGCCCAAACAGCAACTGCACGCCGGTGACCTTTATCTCTGTCCCGAATCGCTCAACGCTTTCCAGGGTGCTCTGGGAGGTGTCTTGGACGCTGTGGACGCTGTCTTCCAGGGAACAAGTCTAGGCGGTGGTCCTTCTAGAGCTTTCGTCTGCATCCGTCCGCCCGGTCACCACTGCTCTGACGACTTTCCCTCGGGTTTCTGCTGGCTGAATAACGTTCACGTTGGCATTGAACACGCTATCATGACATACGGACTAACTCATGCGGCCATCATTGACTTTGATCTGCACCACGGAGACGGCTCGCAGGCTATAACATGGGCGCGTAACAAGAAGGTCCAGAACATGCCTAAGAACACTCCCAACTGGAAGAAGACCTCGATCGGCTACTTCAGCTTACACGACATCAACTCATACCCATGTGAGGACGGCGACGATGACAAAGTCCAGGCGGCTAGTCTCTGTATCGACAACGCTCATGGTCAGTCCATCTGGAACGTCCATCTGCAATCATGGAAAACACCTGAGCAATTCTGGGAAATTTACGAGGAAAAGTATTTGGTATTACTTGAGAAGACGCGTCAATATCTCAAACACCACACCAACCGCTTACGGTCCACGCCAAACCAGCCTGCCCCAAAGGCAGCCATCTTCCTGTCCGCTGGATTTGATGCAAGTGAGTGGGAGACTGCTGGAATGCAACGCCATAGCGTCAACGTACCTACTGAATTCTACGCTCGTTTCACTCGGGACGTAGTCCGGTTGGCTGAAGAAGAGGGCACATCTGTGGAAGGGCGTGTCATCTCAGTCTTGGAGGGCGGGTACAGCGATCGAGCGCTCACTAGTGGTGTATTCAGTCATTTGAGCGGCCTCGTGGATGGCCAAGTCTTGAAGGCCTCAGAACCATCAACGGGCCTTTCACACTCTATGCGCAACAGACTTAGTGGAATCAGCATACAGGATGAAGACGTTCCCATGCAGTCTGTCGAAGCGCAGCTCACGCCCCTCAGCTACGATCCTCAATGGTGGCATACAGATCGTTTATCTGAATTGGATGGCCTCGTTCCGCCCCCGCCCGTACATGTCTCGAAGACGACACGCACTGACCGTCTGGCCCATTTTTCTTCGCCCACCCAGTCCTACGTGGCCAAAGTCGTGGATCCAACCAAGATCAATCGTAGCCTTTCCGCCAAGTACGCCTCAAATCCATTGAGAGCGCCCACCCCGCCACCACCGGAGGTTGACTGGGCTACTGCCGCCCATGCTCTGCGTACTTTGCTGGTACCATCGGATCGCCAAACTCGTAGCCACCGACCAGAGGATTTGGCCGAGGTCAAAGCCAAAAAGGAGAAGCCTGCTGCGTCTGCTGCGGCCCCAGCCCGCACAGATACATCAGGGCGACAACTGCGTGGTCGTAAAGCCGCTCCCTCCTACGCTGAGCCTGGTTCGGACGACGAAAAGACATCTCGTGTAGAATCACGGGCGAGTAGGCGGCAGACCATAGCCGACTTTGCACCAGCCAGCTCAGAAGCTCCAGCTCCAGCAAGCTCTGCTTCTCGTCGCATGAGTATTGCTTCGAGCGTCTCTTCCATGGGCGACAACAGGGGTGTTAGTCGTGCGCCAAGTGTAGCAGCAAGCCGGAGAAGTGTTGCGCCTTCTGCAGCTCCAGCTAACGGAGTTGCGATAAAGAAGGCACGAGGCTCAACAACGACGGCAGCTGCAGCAGCTCGTGCGCCTCCACGTCCAGCCGTTGCGAGAATGCCTTCGACCCAATCTGTCAAGCCCAGTGCCCCAAAAGACAAGGAGAATGATGGCATGGACGCACTTACTTCAGGCCTAAAGCGGGTTACGTTGAAGATGCCCTCAAAAGAGGAATATGATGCACGGGAGAGGGAGAAGGCTGAGAAGTTGAAGGCTGCCGAAGCACCGAAAAGAACCACTACCCGAAAGCCACCAGCTGCTCGCGCTCCTCCGACAAAGCCTGCGACCAAACCCGCGACAACCGCAAAAAGGGGTCCAGGTCGTCCAGCAAAGACTTCCAAACCTGCGTCCCCAGTTCCCGAGGCCCCGCAGATGCAGGTAGCTGCTGCTGCGCCGCTCGAGCAGCCTCAGCCGGTACAGATGGATTCGTCTACTGTCTTGCCACAGCAGGAAATGCAAGCTTCCATGGAACAACCTCCAATCGATCGTCGAATCTCTGGCGGAATTGTGCAACCACCCACTGAGTTGCATGACATGGCTATAACACCCGAGCAAATCCGTGAACAGCTTCCCATGGTAAGTTCCAACTACGAAATGCATGTAAGACATATGCTAACTTCGCAGCCATCTTTCGTCACTGTAACAGAGCCGCTCAAGGATGTTTCACCACCTTCCCGCGCCGATACGCCTCCTCCTCCACCCCCGTCGAATCTATCAGAGTTTGTCAACTACACTGCGCAGAATTTTGGCGGAAACTCAGAGTTCGTAACTCCGCATGACGCATCGGATCCTCAGGCCTCGGCAACTTTGCAGTGGGTTGCCAATACACATGCTGAGGATACAAGCATGCCTGGAGTTCCACTCATGTCACCGCCAAGCAAGAGGGCTGATCTGCCTGTTTTCACATCAAACGGTGCGATACCATTCGCATCAAACTCGAACGGAGCCATGAACGCGCACTCGAGGGCGGAGGGTGCCGGTGCCGAATTGAAGAAAGATGAAAATGGAAGGGATATCTGGGACATACCCGACACGCCAGCTCGTTAGAGTACTTCAGCACTACAGGCCCTCCACTCGATTTTGTTCTGCTTTCTTTCTTTGATCACGCGTACCGCGATGCGATATCGCGGTTGCGTTAATCAGTGGTTATTGCCGGCTTACGCAAGGCAGACTATACCTGACGTTTCCCAGCTTGGTGTTTATTGGTGGAGTTGATTTCACTTTAGCGAATCGGCGCGTGAGCCGTGACTATTTGGAGTTGTCTTTGTAGAATTTCTGTGGGGCAGATCGTCGATTGTAGCTCTACCTAGAATATGCGCATGTAGAAGATAGATACCCCCGGAGGCGAGTATGCGAAGGATTTAATGCGAAGTTTCTCATACTACACTTGTCTTTCAATTGTGTTCAATGGCTCCCTGCATCGTCTAAACAGCTTTCGATGTATCAGAGCTGAACCAACCCCGCGGGATCATAGTTCCAACACCACCCAAAGTACCAATACACCCCTCCCAAGATTGCCACAACCCCCAGGGTAAGAAACCCTGCCTAAGCGCCCGTCCGAATCCCGTACTCAGCGCTGGTGTAACTGCAGCCCCCGCAGGCGGCCGCCCAAGTACATGGTGTAGCATGTCAACATCGGTGTGGGCAGGCGCGGGAACCAATGATTAGCGTGCATTCCGTATCATGGGACAAGGTTTCGGTGCGGGGCAGCCAAAGCGCGACATGCGCATCATGCACGTCCAAGGGTCTTAGCTTACGGGGCGTGACGTACTTCTGGGTCGCGTCCTTGATTGCGATGGCTAGTTGGTTGCCTGGGAGGAGTGTGTGTAGGAGGATGAAACGTACACGGGGATGGGGGCAGCTGGAAGATGGGGGCGAGTACTGTACTTATGGTGGCTGATCCGACGGAAAGGTTGACACGCTTCTCCTTCGCTCCTGCCTGTGCACCTTTTGACAGGACGCTTGGACGTGGTTTGTTTGCTGGGTCCCGGTACTTGATTAGGGCGAAGGCGTGGGCTAAGGTGCAAGTACCCGATTGACCATCGAACCTTCCACTCTACTCTTCGTTTGTTCAGCTTGTGCTACTTGTTTCTCTTCTTCCTCTTCTACCCTTTTGCCCCCCTCCCACCGACAACACCACCGACAACACCACCGACATCTACACCAAAAGTTCCCCCATCCACGCCCCAAACAAACCTCACAGCGATGGCCGACGCCGCCCCCGCCAACGACTCCAACGGCGGCAGCAGCACGCTCAACCCCTTCGCAAAACGCACCTCGCACTCCGACCAGAGCATCCTCCTCTACAAGATCACCACCACGATCTCATGGCTCCTGCTCGTCATCTCCGCCATCTACACCACCTTCGCCGCACCTTCAGGCCCGCACTCGCACAAGTTCTGGCACAACAACCCGCAAACCCCGTTCGCGCAGTCCAGCATCTTCACCTCCATCTACGTGCTCATCATCTTCATCCTGCAGGGCGGCTACGCATACGCCCTGTACATGAGCGACGAGACGTACGTGACTGCGGCTGCAAACCTCGGCTCGCACTTTATCGCCAACAACCTTCTTCTCTTCGGCTTTGTTCACCTGTTCACCCGCTCGCACTTCTGGCTGGCGTTCTTCTTGCTCGTGCTCAACTTTGGTAATCTGAGTTTGGCTTATTTCCGCCACTCTGCTGCCCCGAGGACGATCCATGTGGGTACTGTGAGTGGACCGCTTGCGTGGAACTTTGTTGCGTTGTACTGGGTTGGTGCTATTGCGATTCATTCGAATCACTTTGCTGCGAGGATCGTGGCGAATGTGTTTATTTGGGGGTGGCTTGGGTATGGCATGTTCTTCTTGGTTGCGTACAAGGATTACACCATGGGATTCGCCTTGAGTGTGCTGGCTTTCTGTAAGTTCGACCTCTGCTCTCTATCGTGCGAAAGTGATTTGGCTAACTTGGCTTCTAGCAACCGGTGTCGGACAGTTCCTGACTCGCCCGCATCTCTTGCAACTCCAGTGGATCTTCGCTTTCTCAATCGGCGGTCTACTCTTCCTCCTCTCGCTTGCTGTTGGCATGCCTGGCCTGCTCGGACGCGATCCCTTCCCTCGTGGTCAGATTGTCAGCGAGGACAGGGAGAGGGCACCTCTGTTGGCTGATGACTAGATGGTCGTCGAAACGTCATCACGGATCTATTTGCAAGCTGTATTGCTTGAGATAAGGAGATGATGATCTGATTGGGCGACTATTAGGATATGATTTTCGAGGTTCAAGTTTGAGGATATGTACACATGGCACACACCATATTGGTTTAACCGTCGAGACGTACAGGTAACAAGGGCCTGGAATACCTATGGTTCACATAGTTGAATGCGTCTGCTACCATTGAAGTAGCACAAAAGTCTCACCTTCGTCAAGCTTTCTATGATGTACATCTCCCCGTGATCATTACACTATCTACAAACGTCTACTAATACTAACTGCTCCCTTTAAAGTAAAAGGTCCTGATTCCCGTCGTTCGCTCCAGGACTCAACACCATATGCTGTGGCTCATTTTGATTAACCACCCATCCACCTCCAGCACCGCCGCCAACTTGATCCGCAATAGGACTACCACCGAACGTGCTCTGCCTCCCTACACTAGCAAAGTACATGTCTGCATCGCTGACAGCGTTCGCCATGCCATTGCCATTTGTCGGCGAAAGTGATCCATTACCGTTAGTAGTGGTGTCGAGTCGCGATCGTTCGGCGGCGGAGCGGTCTCGAGCCTGCTGCGCTGCTTTGACAGTCGGGAGTTCATGCTTTTGTAGGGCGGGCGAGTCTTGTAGTTTACGTGGGCGAGCGCTGCGGAAGACTTGGTTGACGGGCTTGAGGTATACTGTAGCCAATGTGCCGACGTTCAGACACATTTCTTCCAGGGTACCAGGGTCGAGCTTCTCGGACTCTTCGGCGGTAATCGGAGGCTTCTCACCCATGACGACCTTCTTCGCTTCTTCGGGTGCGGAAGAGAGTAGACGCCAGTACATGTAGCCTCGATCGCGGAGATCTGGATTGTCTGTTTCTTCAGTTGCCCACTTTAGTACCTTGGGTACTAGATTAGAACCGCGAGTAGGTCTTTGGATGAACAACTTGACGGTGGCGGTGAGTAATGCCAGTTGCACCTCATGAGTCTCTTCTTGAAAGGTATCCAGAAAATCTTCCAGCAAAACGTCCGAGTCTTCAATTCGGTCTGCGTATTGCCCAATAACCCAGATCATAGCGGCCTTCGCTTCTGGTTCGTCTAGTGAGTCGAGGTTCTCACATAGTGTTGAGATGATCGATTCGTATTGGTTGGGGTATTTCCGGAAAATATTGCGGATGACGACGGTCGCCTCTTGTACGATGTATGAGACTTTCGTGCTGACGAGCGAGAGGAGGGTGCTGATGCACAATTGTGCGGCCGGTGCGATTTTGATGGCAAGTTTGCCAATGGCGCGTACGGACTTGCGCACAAAGTCGACGTCGATCTCGGTAGCGTATCTGTCGTATAGTCAGTTACCTATGTTCACAGTAATCTTGAAGAACTTACTCAGAAAGCTCTGTCAACACTTCCTTGATGTTCCTCTCTGTCGCCAGCATGAAGATGAGCTCAAGTTTCGTGACCTTGACGTATATAGGGTCGTTGTATTTGCAGAAGAAGACGCGGATATCGTTCCGCAATACTTCCGGTCTGCGCTGCAGGATCAGGAGGGCATTGCGAAGTGCTAGGTATTGAATCTCGGGTCCTTTGGAGAGGAGTGTGACGAGCGGCGGTGATAGCTTATTGCATAACGAAGTGACGACTTTCTGATCGCTGATGTAGTTCATTAGGTAGAGGATAACGCGAATGCAGGTAAGGACGACGGCAGAATTCGAGTGGGAAAGGCGTGGCGATATGCGCTCCGCGAGGAGAGCAGCTTCGCTCGTGTCCTGGGGAACGTAGTTCATCATAGCCTCCAGAATGTACGTCTGACCCCACTCTGAGCAGTCTGGGAGAATCTGAACAATCTTGGATGCGCTCGCATAGTCGATTGTGAGCTTGATGTTCTCACTTCGCTCCCAGATGTCCATGAGCCCTGCCAACGCGCTTGACACTACTGTGGGGTTCTCGTCTCTTAACATGCCATTCAGCCTGTCGATCAGATCTGATTGTTCCACCAAGTGTCGGTCGTGATCGTAGAGCTTCGCCACGCAGAAAGCTGCCGTCTTTCGAACGTATGGGTCGGAGTCTTTGAGGAGGTTCTTCAGGTGCGGCACGGTTGCCTCGACGAATTCTCGGACGTGAACGTAGGACATGGTCCGTAGGGCGAGCGCTCGAACTAAGGGGTTGTTGTCGTGCATGTCTTCCTGTATGATGGGCAGCGCTTTGAGCGCAATGTCAGGTTTTATCCTGGCATAGTTGACGAGATACAGGAAACACCTGCCCGCGTCAGCATAGCCCTTCTTCAGGTGATCCTCACTACCCACATCTTCTTGATCTCCAAACTCGGTATGTGCATGCAGCCCACGATGTCCATGAATAGCGCGACCATGTCGTTGTTGCTCATGGTCATGTTGGCGACAATCTTCTTGAGGGCCGTCTTCTTCTGGGAGAAGTTCTTGTCCTTCTTGTTGCCATTGTTGAGTTCGACACGGAGTTCCGCAACTTTGCCCTGGGGAGTGCGGAGGTTTTGTAAGCGCGCGTTGTCAAAGGTGTAGGGTAGAAACATCATCATGGCAGTGGATGCTCCTAGCAGACGGACAGGCTGAATAGGAGAACATGCAATTGCACAAGTCGGAGACGTGGGTGGCACGAATGACGAGACGGACGTACCCTCGCAAAGAGCTTCGCATCTTGGCCGCCCTGGCTCATGTTGGGCTAATGATGTCGCGTATGCCAGCTGGGCTGTCCTCCCAATGCATGTGCCTGCCGTAGCACAATCAAGATAACCTCCCTCGCGACTTAGCGCCCCTCCCTTGCCGTCTCGAGGAAGCGTGCGGGGTTCGATGGCTGATTCGCTGGTCTATCGGCTTCGTATCGTGTCGCGCATATCGGAGGAACGTGGAAAAGGGCTGGAGAGGCGTAACGACAGAAATGGTTTGTGATGTTTGGGAACCGTAACTTTTAGGAAGCCTGCCAGCGGTCAACACGGAGGAGGGGACGTGCATCCGCCAAGGCCGCCATATGTGGAGCTCTCCAGAGGCCCGCTCCGCAACACCACGAGCGAAGTTGCAACATCGTGAGACCCTGGACCCTGGCCACCGCAACAACATCTCAGAGTCTGCTATCCGACACCTCGCCATCACAAGGACGCCCCATCATGTCGAAATCGCCTCCACCGCCCCCGCAGTGGGTGCTCGACCTCAACTCGACGCCCGCATCCAAGCCGAAGAACGCCTCGCTCTCAGACCCACCGGGCTACACGGCTTCTCTCACCAAGAAGGAGCGTTCCCAGGCATCAAAGACTCAGAGGCAGCCCCCGACACCCGAAGAGATGGATACGCTCAAGATGAAGAAGGCGTGGGAGGTCGCCATCGCGCCCGCAAAGCAGTTGCCCATGAACGCTTTTGGTATGTCATCTGACAGGAGACTCTGTGAGCAGACGCTGACAATACCAGGCATGTACATGACAGGCAACACTCTGCAAATCTTCTCCGTCTTCATGGTCTTCACGCTCTTCAAAACTCCCGTTCTCGCTGTACTAGGTCTTCAACGCACCTTCGCTCCCTTTGAGACCCCTGGCACTTCTGGACGACTACTCGGTGTCAAGCTCGTTTACATTGCATGCAACATGCTGATGTTGGCGTTGGGTATATGGAAGGTTAATGGCATGGGACTCTTACCGACAACAAAATCAGATTGGCTGGCATGGGAAAGTGAGAGGATATGGTCTGAAAGGGCAGTACCGAAGGAGTGGTTGTAAACGCAATCCTGGTTGGAGATACGTATTCTATGATTACTGTGACGGAATAGTCGCTGAGGCTTTATACAAGGTCATCATTCTGACCTCCGTTCCATCTTCGTCATCTCTGATCCTTTACTCAGTACCCGTCTTGTGTTCTTTTCTCTTGTCCTTCTCTTGCTCGTTCTCCACCAGAGAGTGGTTTCACGTTGCCTCAGCCGCTACGCGCCCATTCTTCATCCTCGCCAAACTTCACATCTCCGTCTTTAATGATCCTCATCTTGTCACCCATGGTTTCAGGATTCACACCCCCATAGTCGCTTCCACCCACGGTCACAGAATCGTCCTCCGAAAGTTCTCCAAACGCTTCTTTGTCGGCTGCTACCTCAATCACAGCTGGCTCTTGTACAGCGCGGTCGAGTTCAGCAGCCGTCGCCAGGTCGGCATGCAGCAATTTCATCAGAACCCTTGGCATGACATGTGGACCTTCGTGTCGCAAGTCCTCAGCTCCGTCACGGAGGTCGGAGATACTGTGGTACCCATCGAAATGTCCACTGAGGGTCATCTCCACGGCAGCTAATAGAGCGATGAGAGGGTCTCCGACGTCATCGTTGTCCAGGAAGGGGGCGACATCGCTCCATCTGGTGATGGTTTGCTCTATGACCTTGAGCATATCACGCTCGTCCTTTTTTATTGCGTCTTCATTACTTGGACCGGTGGCTGAGAAGTCTATGAGCAGGATGTCTGGATAGCCGCGGTACCGATGGTGATGCACCGTAGGGTACAGGTTGAGCATGATGTTCGATGCCTCAATCTTCCCGTGTACCAAACCCTCCTCGTGTAGGAAGCATACAGCATCGATCAGGCCCAGAATGATATGCGCAACGAACCAGCTGGGAATGCCGCCATGATCATTCTTAATATTCGCTTCGCCGAACTGCGCCAGCGTGGGACCGAAAATAGGGCGGAGACAATTGTACGAGGTGGGTGACGAGTCGGCGTACTCAGCGCGTAGGACATATGAACCGATGAATAGCGAAGCTTTGTCCCTCTTACGGTGCTCCTCGAACTGCGTTGCCTCGTTGCGAAGCACGTCCGTGTCTTTCCTTGTCTTAACTACCACCAACTGGGGCAGCATTCTCAGATGTTGTTCCGAGAGCGAAGATGTGCGGTTTTCCTGCATGCTCTTGTACAGGACGTCGCCCAGGTTCTTGTATGTGAGCAACGGCAGTTGCTGTTGGAGGCGCGCAAAACCAGATAAGGTCTTCCAAGCGTCGTGGTTTTCGATGGTGTCATCGGAAATATCCGGATCAATCTTATCTGACGGCTCGAATGGAGGGGGAAGTACGCGTGGTAGACAAAGGTACACTCCCGCGGAAGATCTCGGCGCTGAGAGAGTCTTGACCACGCGGAAGGAATCAGATGGGGGCCTGGGGACGGCGCCGGGGAGACGTTTTACAGCGGACGCCTGATCGAACGACGGAGCGGAGGAGTCCATGTTTGCGAAATGAAGATAGAGATGTGGTAGAAGAGATGGTTGCAAAGTCGGTTGCAGAGCTAGTTGCAGAGTTGAGTGAGAGGACTGCCCAAATGGGAAATCACGGTGACTGTGCGCATGATAGTGTACCAGTCCATCATACAACAGCCCCGGAAGGAAGTCGTCACTGGCACTACGCGTGTGAAGGTGCTCGACACGCTAACGACGTCACATTAGTTGGGAAATAGCGTATCAGGATGAATCTCAGTGGGATATTACGTGCACTATCGACAGCCAGAAAGGGCATGTCGTCTGCAAATGTCTGCTTCCAAAGTTTCGCGTTCATGTGCCGCTCATTGAGTACTGTCAGGGAAGTGTGTGACCAACTCTTTCACTGGAAAAACGATGACAGTAGAGATCACAGTCAGCGTTTTCCGACGCGGATGGATAGGTACGCATGGCACATGTAGTGAAAGAGTTTTCTTTGGTGAATACGATGAGCTCAGTTTGTGACAAAACTAGAGTATCTTTGACCATGGATTCGGAAGCTATGACACTCAATATCATTTGATGTCTTGGTACTCAGCACTGCTCTTCCAATTCTTCGGGTATCCTCTCGCGACGCGCCACTCCTCCGCCTTACTTCTCAGCCTCTCGTACACGCTCTCTCGCCACCCTCCATCGCCATCTTCCTGGAAACTAAACTTCATTCCAGAAGGCCAATACAACATGTTCTCAACTCGAGCTCCATCTTTAGACTCCAACAGGCCGATAGCGATGTCGAAAATCTGTGGCCGTTTGCCAGTAGTGTAGAAGACCACTGCAGAACAGGTGTCGCAGAAGTGGCGATAGACATCGGGCGAAGAGTTGTAGTACTTCAGCGTACCCACAGCGGGGTCTTCCGCGTCGATGAGTTCGTTGAGGGCGTACATGTCTTTGGGGAAGGCTTTGCTGCTGTCCTTTCCGAATGATATGTACTTCGTCTCTGCGTACGTCCAGTTGAAGACGTCACTCCCACTTTGCAACCTGCAGCTGTCGCATCCACAGAAGCCGGCTTTGAGCTTCCTGCTGACAGGTTCGACGTTGGAGGGCAGCTCATCTCCGGCCATGTGCTTGTAATCGCCACACTGGAGCACCAGATCTACCCCGCCACATTTGCAGCGTATCGGTACACTCTCTTCCTCTTTCGCTTTGAGTTCTGGAAGAGTGGAGGACCGAGGCCAGTCTGCAGATAACTCCTTCGCTCCAGGGCCACGACCGGCGACCACACTTTCATAACGCTTCAGGTCCTCCCCATCGCCATTGAGTGCACAGAGCCAAGGACTCGCACCTCCATCTTCCGTATCGGCCACGAAACCCTGCCCACCAAATTCGATCAACTGGCGACCTCTAAGATCCACGTTACCGAGCGCACCAGTGACCACTCCCAGATTCCTGGCCGGATCTTTGAAGGCACAGAAAACCGGGCTTGAGCAGGTAGGGCAGAACAAGAGGTCGAAGCGCTCCCAGCAGCTGAACGTCTTGAGGCTGGAAATGTCGACGTTGGCGCGAGGCTCAGGCCATGATGTGAGCGAGGTGTGGAGCGAGCCGCACAGGTGCCGACAGGTCGTGCAGTGGCACACATGCCCTGGTAAGGGAAGAGCGGACGCAGGAAAGGTAGTACTGTAGTTGTGAGAGCCACAGAGACATGATGCCGTTAGAGTTACGGTCTCGGTGGAAGAAGACATCGTAGGTCTCGAAATTGGAAACGATTCTGCAATCGTTGCAGGACACTCTGGCGTTGATCCTGCTAGTTATAGGATATCTATAAGTTACTATCAGGATGGGTCTCCTTACTTGCTACGTTGCATGTGCTACGCCGCAAGCATGACGATGCCAAAGTGTGACCACATGCCGGCGCATGTCGAAGGGCGTGGCGTCGGATTGGTCAGCGTACATATGTGGGGCTCGCATTTTCGCGTCGTACCTCGCATTCAGGCTTGGGTGCACAACGAGTTGCTGTTAGCGGCTTGGTTAATATTGAGACGAATCCTGCCGTCGGCTGTATAACTTGAAGGATTTTTAAATCTTGACCACCCGCATGACGTCGAACAGGCCGGTCTTCTGCTTATCGGACATGCCTGCTTTCAGAAGACCAGTTGCATGTTCGCCCTCTCGGCCCCGCTGGTTGCTCACGAGCCTTGTGTCGCCTCGCTTAAACTCACATGTCCGGCCTGTCATACCCGAGATCCACATCTTCACATTGCGAAAATGAGGGCCATGTAGCAGATTGGTCCCGTATGCAGATGCCCAAGGCGCATCTACGTGCCAGGAGTCCAAACAACCAGGTAGATCTGGCGCGAAGGACGTGACAACGACGATTTGTCGCTCATCTTTTGACGGTCCGGAACATGTCAGTGCTAAGGCGCCACTCGGTGATGCATTGGGGCTGTTGACTGCATCCAAGAGCCACCTCAAGTCCCTTTTATGCTCCGAGTTGTGCTTGACGACGTCCCACATCTCTATACCGGTATCCCTGTTGAATTCGGGCATCTTTCGCAGCACAGCAGGTGCGTCCGAATCCGGTATGTTACTCCACAGCGTGCAGCCAAGCAGCGTAATGTTCGTGCCCGGCACGTCGCTTCCCGTCTCGTATAGTATCTCCAGTTTCCCTTTGAGCGAAGGCTCTCTCTCCATCTTGTGCGCCAATTGTAAGCCGTCCATCCAGCTAATGCCGTGGAACTCCAGTGGACCGAGAACCATAAATACCCTCTCATGAAGACCACACCGTCGAATAAGGAACCACAGATACAGTTCGTAGTCTATTAGCCTACCAACGTTCCCAGCAAGTATCAGGAAGGGCGCCGCAACGGGTACGTGGAAGGTGAGGTATTGTGATTCGTAGTCCAAGTGGAGATCTGATAGGACCTGGAAAGAGGTCTTCGGGTTCGAGAACAGGCTAGATAGGCGTCGCAGTGTGCTCGGTAGCATCGTCGCGGTAGTGGTTATAGAGCAAACTAGGGAAAGATGGTGAGAATGAGCGTCGGGATGCACTCGACGACTGAAGCGCTGGTAGGGAGACTGAGGGGGTTGTGTGGACTAGAGAGAAGCTAACAAGATCAACAACACGCATGAATGAAGCGACAGAGCGCCTGAGATACGGCAGAAAGAGCTTGTCTTGTTGTAAAGGCTGAGCGCAGCTGCGCCATGAGAACCGATCGCGGTCCGCAGCATTGCGGCGCGTGTGCTATCTTCCAACACCGTCGGAATCAAAGACGAACAAAGTTGCGACTGTGCTCATCCTTTCAATCCTTTCGATCTTTGCGGAGATTTGCTATTGGGCGCAACGCGACTGTGCGGCGTTTTCGTGTTGGAAGTTGGTGGCTGTGAAGAGAGATGGCCTTCCAGTAGGGATTGAATTAGATTCCGTCTAGGCCGAGTCCGGATGGCGCGATTTCGGCCCGGCCCCACGTCATCTCCTCCATCCCCTTCTGACCCAGCAGCGCCAGCTCTCGCGACGGCGACGACGACGGCCTCTGCAACCCTCAATGCGTTACAGTCGTCCTGCTGGTGTGCGCGCATCATTTGTGTTCACCCGGACTTCTTCGGCAGCCCACAGCGCGCGGATCTGCCTTCTCAGCCTCAACCTCCGAGGTCCACTGGCGGATGACGGGCTTTCCTTCGTGCCATGAGCAGTCCACACCGCGACGACCGCAGCTGCAAAATGGAGGAACACACAAGCTGAGGTCCTCCATTTGGACAATGTGACCTTTTTACTGCGTCGTTCCTCAACGTATGCGCCAGCACACGCCGACTCCATCGAACCTCGCGACCGATCACGTCGAGTGTTATCCATTGCTTGGAGTAGCCCAGTACCGTCACAAGTACCGGCTTATCAGCATCCTATACCCTCGGCTTGTCATCCTGTACAACCGCATGCGATATATGCGTAGGAAGAAGTTCATGATCTCGGCTTTCATCACGCATGATGAACAATAGACATTACATCTCTGGCAGAAGGCACAGCAAACCACGTGTTTGGTATGCTAAACAAGACGCACATGCAAAGGCAGCTTCTTGCATTGGCATCGAACCATGGCTCGGTACGAAGAAGAAGCCGTTGAGTACTGTGTGTTATCCGGCTAAATGTTACTCGCCTGGCGGCGGCGCCCTGGCCTGCAGCTTACCGGTTCACTGCAGTTGTCTGCCACACGCATCACTACCTAGTCGCTCTAAAATTCGTTCTCGCTCGACGCCTCTTCTCGTCTCGCTCTGCAGTGCCGTCCGCGGTGCGTCGAATACGATCGCCAGTGGTTCTGGGAGTATATGCCCAGATCTACTTTGATTGTGAGGCTGAAGCACTAATGTATCCCGGTTCCACCATCGACGGGTTGATATTGCGGTCGCAGGATCTACAGCCTGCAACCTGGGACCGACACACTGGCAACTTCTAAGAATAGTCGTATTACCTGTGGACCATCCGACTGTTCCCTATACGAGCTCGGTATATTGCCTGCGTCTGGACTTGCCGGTCCTTTCGGCCGCCGTCTAATATCCCGCGTGTTCATTGTTGTTGACAAAAGCATGGAAGCTGTTCAGAAGTAAGAGCGTACTGTGATCTACACAACACGGCAGTATACCGAAGCTGATGACCATTGATACTGTGTAATTGATATGTGTTTCACATAAGTATCCGCCAGAATAAGTATCAGTCTCAGCCCCTGCGTAGCCTAACTAGCACACGAGAAGATTCCAGCTCCGTGTTCAGCTGCACATGCAATATACTTCACGTATTACGGCAGCATTCCAAACCAATCTTCGCCTCCCGTGTTCGCGTACCCGGTAGCCAGGCACGTCTTTCTTACCACCTTGCTCGGTCTTAACCAATCATCTAGCCTCCGATCTTACCTCTTGGCTGTCAGGTCCTTCCTTTCTGGAATCTCGGCCTTCCAGATGGTCTGTCGACTTTACACCCGGATATGATACGATGAAGATGGGGTCAGAAGCTTTTGATCAGCGAGGTGAATGCCATATGGTATGAC